GCGCCGCTGGAAGACGCTGACGATGGTGGAGATGCTGTCCAGGAACGGGGACATTTTCCTGCGGGTCCGAGCGAGCCTGGGAGCGACGGGAGAGGAGCCGGGGATGGGGGGATTCCCTCGGGAAAGAGGGAGGAGAATTCCCGGGGTGGGGTTGGCTCGGCGTGCCCGGAGCGTTGGGAACGCGTTCTGAGGATTTGGGGTTTTAATGGGATGGGGAGCGGCCCCCGGATGCCCCCGGTGATGTTGGAGCGGGAACGGGAGCGGGGAGGGGATCGGGGACGGGAACGGGAACAGGGACGCGGTTACGGATGGCAGGGAGGGAACCGGGAATGTGAACGGGGACGGGAATGGGGACGGGAATGGGAATGGGGAAGGGAATGGGGATCGGGGACACGATTAGGGATGGCCGAGAGGGAACCGGGAACGGGGACGGGACCAGGAACGGGGACAGGAATGGGAATGGGGACAGGAATGGGAATGGGGACGGGAATGGGAACGATGACGGGGAGGGGACCGGGGACGCGATTAGGGATGGCAGGGAGGGGACCGGGAATGGGGACGGGACCAGGAACGGGAACGGGGACGGGAACGGGGACGGGAATGGGGACGGGAATGGGGACGCGGTTACAGTTGGGGGGGAGGGGACCAGGAATGGGATCGGGGACGGGAACGGGAATGGGGACAAGAATAGGGACGCGGTTACGGATGGCAGGAACGGGAACGGGAACAGGGACAGGGACGCGGTTACAGTTGGCGGGGAGGGGATCGGGAATGGGATTTAATTTAATAGGATGGGAACGGGGACGGGAACGAGAACGGGAATGGGGACGCGGTTAGAATGGTAGGGAGGGGGTTGGGAACGGAGACGGGAACGGGGACGGGTTCGGGACCGGAACGGGAATGGGGACGGGAATGAGGACGCGGTTAGGAATGACGGGTTGGGGACCGGGAACGGGATCCCGGTGACGGGAGGAGGGTTGGACCCAGCCCAAGATCTCGGATCAGAAACCTCAAAAGCTGCGCCCGGAAACCTCGGAAGCCTCGTCCTTCCCTGCCGGGATTTTATCGGGAACGGCCGTGCCCCGATCTGATCCCGGGATCTGTGCCTGCCTTCCTTGTGGGATTTTATTGGGAACGGCCGTGCCCCGATCTGACCCCGGGAAACCTCCAGAACGTGCCCGGACTCACGAGAGCTCCCGGCCCCAAAAAATTCCAGGGATTCCCATGAAAAAGGAGCCGTTTGGGTTCAAATTCCGACCCCACACCCGAGGAAGCCCCCAAACCTCTCCCGTATTCCCGGACAACCCCATAATTCTAACGGGGGAAAAATCCCGTCCGTATCCCCCCCCAAAAAAAACCGGGAACGGC